TGTGACACCACTGCCTGGCCTACATTTCTCGTTTTTCAAAGGATGGTTTTTGTATAAGTCATTATTGTTTGTGGCTGTGTATGGGCATTTGGGTGCTGCTGCGGTATGGGCCTGACCTTGTAAACCCTCTTACTTGGCATGGAGGAAGCACAAGTGGGATTACCCTGCCAGTTTCCTGGGCTAAGGAGACATTCATTGGAGTGAATCTTAGGTGGTCTCATTTTAGTCTTCTAGTCTCAAAGACAAAAAGCTTGTTTGATGCCAGCTTTCCCAATGTTGTGCCTGTTTAATAGGAAAAGACAGTCACCATCAAGGCTCCCACAGTGAAGGGGCCCAGGTGAACGGCATTCAGCTAGAAGAGGTCAGTCGGCTGAGGGAAGAGGTAGAAGAGCTGAAAAGTCACCAGGGGCTCTTACAAAGCCAGCTAGCCGAAAAGGACTCTTTGATAGAAAATTTGGTAAGTAGGTATTAAAACAGAAATGTAATAAGAGATCAAGAGTAATCTCATCATCTTACTTGTTTGTTTTTCTGGGTTTATATGTTTGTTTTCTTTTGAGATAAGGACTTATTGTGGAGCTCTGGCTGGTCTGAAACTCATTTTCTAGACCAGGCTGGCCTTAAAACTCAGAGATCCTGAGAGCTGTATTGAAAATTATGTACCAACATACCCAGCCCTGTTTTTGTTTTTCTGACAGTCTCAGCCATCTCAGAGTGATCTTGAATTCTGATCCTCCCTCCTTCACTTTCCAAGTGCTGGGATCACACATGTATGCCTCCATTCCTGGCTTGATGCTTCTAAACTCAGTGGTGTAAACCATGTTAGTCTTGAGCTCACAGAGATTTGCCTGCCTCTGCCTCCTGAGTGCTGAGATTTAAAATGAGTGCCACTATACCAGCTCATTTGCTTTTTTTTTCTCTTGGGACAAAGTCTCTATGTAACCCTGGTTTTCCTGGAACTTACTGACTAGACCAGGCTGGACCTGCTACTTCTGCTGGGAGTAAAGACTTGAGCAACCACACTCAGCTTGCTTTTTTTTTTTTTTTTTTTCTTAAATGATGAGGATTCTCTTTTTAAAAAGTAGTGATGGTGTGGTTTAGAGACTTTTTGCAGTGTTTGTGTGGTGCAGACATGGGCACTCAAGCCACAGAGTGGAGGTCCAAGGACAGTTTTCAGGAGGAGTTGATGCTCTCCTCTGACTGTGTAGGTCTCAGGAATCAAAATCCTATTTCAGGCTCGATGGTGAGTAACTTTACAGGCCGAGCCAGCTTGCTGGCTCCTCACACTTAAAATGAGGTATTTTCTTTAATGTGGAAGTAGTTCAGTAACAACTGCTTCTGTGCTTTTGCCCCTTACTACTTAAGGTACATGTCTAGATATGATGACTCACTTGGTATAGTGTAACTTCTGAAGCTGTGGACAGCTATAGGCAGTCATCGAGCACCATGTTCAAATAGCATCTTACATACAAAAATTAAAATCTTCCTGTGAAATCCTTTGGTGAGCTTCTGTAAGACTCAGTTCTATGTGTATACTTCTGATTTCCTTTTTCTTAAGATTTACTTATTTCATAGTTTATTTCTCTGCTAATTGTAGAAATCTTCACAAGCGTCTGCCCTGAATGAACAGGCTTCAGTAACAGCTTCACCCAGAGATTCAGAGCAAGTTGTTGAATTAAAACAGGTAATTTACGGGGCTGGAGAGATAGCTCAGTGGTTAAGAGCACTGACTGTTCTTCCAGAGGTTCTGAGTTCAATTCCCAGTAGCCACATGGTGCCTCATAACCACCTTGAATGAGATCTGGTGCCCTCTGCTGGCATGTAAGCAGAAGACTGTAAACATAATAAAAACAAAATCTTACAAAACAAACAAACAAAAAACAGGTAATTTACTTTCTTGAGCCCAGTTCCAGTAGAGTTACACCCCTGAAGTTGTATTCTAGAACTCATTGTCAGGAATAATAAAATTTGGTAATTAAGACAGCTTTGAAAATCCAGAAGCCTTATTTACCTTGATGATAATGTTTTTTCATCTTTTATTGGTTGGTTTTAAACTTTGTACATTTACAAATTTATTTTGTGCTATGAATGTGTGCATGTGCACCCAGCTTTTGTTACAAAGTGTGCATCTGGAAGTCAGGACACCTTGAGGGAGTTGGTTCTCTAATTCAGGTGGTCACCTACTGAGCTTCTTGTTTTCTTTTTCTTTTTCTTTTTTCTTTTTTTTTTTTCCCCCCGAGACAGGGTTTCTCTGGGTAGCTTTGGAGGCTATCCTGGCACTGGAGACCAGGCTGGCCTCGAACTCACAGAGATCCGCCTGCCTCTGCCTCTGCCTCTGCCTCCCGAGTGCTGGGATTAAAGGCGTGCGCCACCAAAGCCCGGCTCAGATTCTTGTTTTCTTGCTCCCTCTTTTCTGTTCCTCCTTCCTTCTGTCTGTTATAAAGGAATGTATGCTTATTTGAAAAGAGAAATCAGGCTGCATTGCTGTGTTACCTAATGTCTCTTCCACAGACATGGCTAAGAAGTGTGACCACTAAGAAGTGTGCCTTATGTCACCAGTGCCAGAGATTGTCATGTGCATGAATATTTTGCCTGCATATGTGGGCAAGCACGAATGCATGCATGCATGTGCGTGCACGTGCACCACATACGTGCAGTGCTCACAGGCCCAAAGAGGGCATTCAACCCCCAGAACTGGAGTTACAGGCTGCTATTAGCTGCCATGTGGGTACTGGGAACCAACCTCAAGTCCTCTGCAAGAACAGCAAGCACTATTAGCTACTGAGCCATCTCGCCAATTTCTCAGAGCTTATTATCTTCAAATCAGTTGTTTACAATCTTTAGGACTCTAGCATTTGTTCACAATGTATTGCTTGTGCAAGCAAGATTAATGTACTATGTTGATTTTACTGAGTTTGCCTATTAATACTAAAACATTAAATTAGAGAAAATTAAGTTATTAATACGTCACATTACCTTATAAATTCCAAATAAAGTCTTAGTTATGCTTCCCAGTGAAACTTTAATAGAATATTTTATAAAAGAAAATTGCCTTTTAGTTTTTTTTACTTTTCCCAGTTTTTTTTTGTATGTGTGTGTGTGTGTGTGTGTGTGTGTGTGTGTGTGTGTGGTGGGTTTTGAGTTTAGTTGTTGTTGTTTTGAGACAGGGTCTCTCTATGAAGCCCTAGATGTTCTGTAACTTGAGACCAGGCTGGCCTCAAACACACAGAGATCCTCCTGCCTTTGCCTCCCAAGGGTTGACATGCACCATCATGCCCAGAAAATATACAATTTTTTAAATGATGGCTTTTTAGGGTTTTATAGCAGCATAGGGTTCTACTTACTATATTACATATTACAGAATACTGCACAGGGACAAGGAGATGGCTCAAAGGTAAATGCTTCTGCACAAGCATGAAAACTTGAATTGGAATCAACCCAGCACCCACATAAGAGGAAGGCAGGCACATGTCACATGCCTATAGGTCAGGTAGATCCTAGGGGATGCTCTTCATCCAGTCTGACCAAAACAGTGAACTCCAGGTTCAGTGAGAGACTGCCTCAAAAAATAAGTGGAGAGCAAGAGGGGACACCCAGTGCTGACCCCTGGGCTCCACACAGGCTCCAAGGCAACATCACCACACACACACACACACACACACACACACACACACACACACACACACACACACACACACAGCATATGTACAGGAAAATGATCCATAATATCACTGTCTGCATGTTATTTTGATAATTGGCAATATGAAGTAATCAGAGAAAAGGCATGTATGTACATAATAGACATATGAAAAAAAAGCATTATTCCATGCCTGTGCCTCACCAACAGACATGTGTCCAGACACTGCCAGATGTCCTGAGGGGCAGGGAGCTACCATTTCAGTTACTTTGCTATCATTGGATTTGGGTGGAGGAGGTCAATAAGAACATTAGAAAATTTAACAACATAAACTGATTTCTTGCCTCATTGTCATGGTAACACTGCTGCTGTCATGTTTGGTGGCCCCTAACCCAGAGCTGTCCAGCTCTACAGTTGCAAATACTAAGCCTGTAGGGTTCAGCCAGTAGTGAGATGCATGAGAGCTGGCAGGAATCTGATGGCTGTTGAACCAGCCCTCAATATTTAAACCACATTTTTACCTGTTCTTCTTAAGATATCTAAGGGTACCAGGAGGCTGCAGATTCCTTGTAAATCAGGTGCCAGCCTTGCTTTCAGGATTCCCAGCTTATTTTCGGTCACCAGTGCATTTCCTTCTGAAATCCTCCAGGTTTATTTTCTTGTCATTATGCCTGACTGGTTTCTTTTCTTCCCTTATTCCTCCATTTATGAGGTGGGAGGGGGCAAACAAATAGGGTCTCAAGAGGCACCAGAGATAAATAAATGTGTTTCATTTTTCACCTTGAACCTGACATAAAGAGTAATTCTCTAGAATTAAATTTTAAAACTTGCAAGTTGTCAATTTGAGGCTAGGATCAAGAAAGGATTTTTTTCTCCCTGTAAATGGACATTTCCTAAATGAAAGTGGTGTTGTTTCCATCACAACTCTACTGTTCTTATTTCCAGGAGCTGACAGCATTAAAGTCCCAGTTGAACTCACAGGCCCTGGAGATCACCAGACTCAAGGCAGAAAATCATGAGCTGCTCCAGAGAGCAGAAGCCTTGGTGAGTCATCCTTGTCTCTTCCATAGATAGTAAGATGAAGTCCGTCTGTTCTCTCCGACGCAGTCTTTACTACTCATTAGCCAGCTCATCTGTCACAGAGCATTTTGTTGCTTTCACATAAAAACACAAGGAGCTTTTTTTTTTCTGTCCTTTGAAATAAAACTTCTAAAGAGCATTTAGAGTTTGTATCATTTGTAACTTAAAGACTTTTTTTTTTCAAATTCATATTTTCAGGCAAAGTCAGTCCCTGTACAAGGAGAGAGTGAGAATGTGACAACTGCTAAAACTACTGATGTAGAAGGAAGGCTGTCTGCCTTGCTTCAGGAAACGAAGGAACTAAAGGTCAGTTTTGGTAAAACTGCTGTTTATTATACAAAGTATGAGATAAATTTTGGAAAATCTGACTGTTTCATTTCATCTCTAAACCCCTTAGGCTTTTAAAGAAAACTGGAAGTTAGGGTTTGTTTTTTGTTTTTGTTATTTTGTGTGTGTGTGTGTGTGTGTGTGTGTGTGTGTGTGTTTGTTTGTTTTTTCCCCAAGATACAGTTTCTCTGTGTAGTCTTGGCTGTCCTGGAACTTGCTCAGTAGACCAGACGGGCCTTGAACTCAGACCCACCTGCCTCTGCATCCCAAGTGCTGGGACTAAAGGTGTGTGCCTCTACCAGCCAGCAAGTTTTCTTATCGACATCAGTAATTAGTCATAACAAAATTAGGGCAATAAATTTGGCTAATACAAAAACCACATATAGCCAGGCATTGTGCCAGGATAGGTTCCAAAGCTACACAGAGAAACCCTGTCTCGAAAAACCAAAAGAAAATAAAAAAGATATAGACTTCCACAGGACTGAGGGATATTGATAGACATGTCAGAATAGGCAACATGAAGAAGAGTCAGGTGACATTAATAAATTGTGAAAAGGGAGATGATATATAGTTATACTTTTTGGATTGTGGGTAAATTATTTATGCTGTGGTTTTATTTGAAACTATCTTTTCTATTAGGTCTCAGAATAAAATGGGATTTTTTTTTTTCCTTTGAGTTTTGAGTTCTAATTCTGAGGACAACTGGCTTCTATAAATGTTCTCTCTTGGGGCTGGAGAGATGGCTCAGAGGTTAAGAGCACTGACTGCTCTTCCAGAGGTCCTGAGTTCAATTCCCAGCAACCACTTGGTGGCGCACAACTATCCGTTATGAGATCTGGTGCCTTCTTCCAACTTGCAGGCATACATGCAGGCAGAACATTGTATACATAATAAATAAAATATTTAAAAAAATGTTCTCTCAGCGTTTGAGCAGGGATGACTAAGGATTGAACTTCATACTCTGTTTATTGTGGCTTTCTTTGCCAAGTAGGCTCCCACGTGTGTGTTTTAAAAGTTATGTACCTTCAGTTCTCAGCCAAGCAACTCAGATTGAACAGTTGTCATATGTTAGTTATCTTCACATTCCTGTGACCAGAGAAAAAGTTTAAGGGGCTGAGATTTATTTTGGGTCATGGTTCAGATGTCACAGTCCATAATGACTGGGAATGCAAAAGCATTTCACAAATTGGTGGCAGAAATATAAGGTGGCCAAATGGTGGCAGGTCAGAAAATGACAGCTCTACATAGATCAGCAACAGATAATTAACTTTAAGACCCACTGCTAGGGACTTGCATGTGCCACCATGAGCCAGTGGGGGACATTTCACACTGAAACCATAACATACACTGATTTGTCACTGATGGAAACTGTTACGAGCTTTGGAAATGAGTACTGATTTTAGATCACTGCTTGTCCCCTTTCTTCCAGAATGAAATTAAAGCGTTATCTGAGGAAAAAACTGCCATTAAAAAACAATTGGATACATCTAACAGCACCATTGCCATTCTACAAACGGAGAAAGACAAGTTAGATTTGGAAGTGACAGATTCTAAGAAAGAGCAAGATGATCTCTTGGTACTGTTGGCCGATCAGGATCAGAAAATCCTGTCACTGAAGAGTAAACTCAAGAACCTCGGTCATCCAGTAAGACTGAAATATTTGCACAAGTGTTCTGGATTTGTAAAATGTTTTCCTAAGTTTAAGTTGTGCCCTATGTTAGCCACAGAAATTTGGGGTCAAGAACATTATTATCTGTAGTTCTCACTGTTCAGTGAATTGGTCTGAGATAAATCAAATTCTCATTGCAGTATTTGGAGCCTAGAGCCTAGAAAATAGCTGGTTTCATTGCTCCTGGGTAATAAGACTCACCCTCAAGGGTGGGTTGTATGGTCATTGTTTTTACCACAGTGGGTTCAGATTCATGGATAGAAAAGTGTGACCATTTATCATTAAAGTTAACTGACTGGCATTACCCATTCATGTTAAAAATGACAGGGAGCACTGAGCATTTTCAAATCAAGGAAGCCTGATTCTACTATGGCAGACAATTAATATTAATAATTAATATGTGTTTCACATGTGTATATTTATCTGTGTGTATTATTATGTGTGTATATGAACAAAACTGTACCTTCCCCTTAGGTTGAAGAAGAAGACGAATCTGGAGACCAAGAAGATGATGATGATGAAATGGATGATGGTGACAAGGACCAGGATATCTAGCTTTAAACCCTAGGGATGGTAGAGATTATGTCATTACTTTGAAGAAGTCTTCAGACAGTGCTTTGGTTTGCCTCCACAAAAAATAAAGATTTAGAACCAGGCAGAAAGCATTCACTAATAAAATTATTGATGTATGATTTTTTTTAGTATTGCCTCCCATGTGGAAAACTCTAACTTCATGTGGAAGTTTTATTTATGTTCATCTGAACTCTCCCAAAATATAATTTGCAAAAAGCATCAGGCTCCAAAAATAGACCATTTGAAGGCATGTGGTGGCGATGCAGTATGCCTTATTGGTTCACTGGTGGTTTGCTCTTCAGAATCTGTGACTTCAGTACTAACACATTGAATTTCTTTTGTATTGAGTTGAAATCATTGTTTCTAAATCAGCATTTGCGTTCTCAGCTGGTAATTTCATTGTAAAGAATTGATTCTACTTAAAGACAGAATAGCCTGGGCTCGGGTCATGTGTGTCATCACCCCACCCACCCCAGTGTGCCTTCCTGAAGAGCAGGATGGGACAGTGTAGAGTGAGTGTTTGCCATTCAATAGGGCCACATTCTGCCTTCTGAAGAAAGGAAAGACTGTCCCTAAGTGTGGAGGGCTGTTCCAAGAAACTGCAGCAATGTGTTAACATGGCTGGTTTTCTTTCTGTTTAAGCTAAAGAAGGAAAATAGGTTATAGTCAACAATTCATACAGCCGGGATTTAGTATTGTTTGATTATCACAAAACATGTTCTTAGTTTTAAAAAGACCCAAACTATGATTTATATAATTTATTGGCATTTTTGCTGAATAGGTGTAAGTCAGATAATAGATTTTTAAAAAGCAAATGAAGCAATGTGTCTAAGTCTAATGTTTTCATAATAAAAATAGATACTATGTTCACATAATCCCTGTCATGGTTCCCTTTGTTTAGATTTTAAGGAAGTAGTTCCTCATAAGAAGTAAATGAGATGCTAAGGAGATGCTTTGTCTTAGTCACTGCTCTATTGCTGGGAAGAACCCCTGAAACCAAGGCAGCTCTTACAAAGCAAAGCATTTGATTGGGGACTTGCTTATAATTTCAGGGGTTTAGTCCATTGTCATTATGGTGGGGAGCATGGCAGCACACAAGGTACTAGAGCAGTAGATAGAGCTATGTCCTGTCTGGATTCTTAGGAACTATTTAAAAGAAGTTTTAATAGATTTAGCAGGGTGTGGTAGCTCACATGTCAGAGATTGAAGCATGGAGGCTTGCCACAAGTTGTAGGCTGTTGTGCTACATAGTGAGCTCTAGAATTATATAACTAAGAGTTTCTTAAAAAACATGGAGCTGGTTAGGGGCAGCTGGGGAGATGGCTGGGAGGTTAAGTGCTGCTCTTCCAGAGGACCCAAGTTCTTTTCATAGCACGCACATGGCAGCTTACAACTATCTCAGTCTAGTTACAGGGTGTGCAGCATCCTCCCTGGACTTCATGGGCACCAGGCATGCATGTGGTGCACAGACATGAATGCATGCAAAACACCTAAACATCTAAACAACAAATGAGTAGGACCTATGGATAGTGAAGGCTGGAGCTAGTTTCTATCATTTGCCCTGAGCACAGGGATGACGTGGCCAATTCACTCGTGGGTACAGACTTTTGAAAGAGAAGTAAGTTAACCTGTCTTAAAAAAGCAGATGACTGGGTAGCAGAGCACCCCTGAAGAGTGCACACACCCCTGCCTACTGCTGCCATTACATCCTGAGTCCAGCATGACACCCTTGATCAAGCACTATACCTGACTACAGATGATATAAAGTAGGCAGTTCCTTCCTATGCCCTCATCATCTGCCAATCCAGACCCTTGTCTTTCTGAGGACAAGTTCCATATCGTGATGAAAGCCCCTCAAGTGGATATAGTTACATTTTTCTTTTTGGGACACCAACTCACAAATAAGGACACAGACTTAATTATGAAAGCTCAGGCTTAGCTTAGGCTTGTTTCTAACTAGCTCTCATAACTTAAAAATCAACCCATTTATATTACTTTCTGCCTCATGACTTTATTACCTCTTGTCCATATTGTCAATCCTGCTTGCTCTGCATCTCCTGGCATTTCCACCTTCTCCCCAGCGTCCTCTCTGCCCAGAAATCCTGCCTAACTGTTGGCATCCAGCTTTTTTTTTTTTTTTTTTTAAGATTTTATGTATGTATGTATGTATGTATGTATGTATGTATGTATGTATACAGTCTTGTGCCTGCATGCCAGCAGAGGGCACCAGATCTCATTCAGGGTGTTTGGGAGCCACCATGTGGTTGCTGGGAATTGAATTCAGGACCTCTGGAAGAACAGTCAGTGCTCTTAACCGCTGAGCCATCTCTCCAGCCCCCGGCATCCAGCGTTTTATTAAACCAGTTAGAGTGACTTATCTTCACAGTATACACAAAAGATTATTTCACAACAGTAGGACACTGCCAAGCCCTTTACAATAATTGACCCTTCAGAGTGATGTTGACACTTTCTGAAATGACAGTCTAATTGCTAAAACTGTGGGAGCCTATGTTTGTGGGTCTACAGTTGGAGCCAGCTGACTTGCCGGATTCTACCTGAGAGGGGGAATGTGGATTGTGAAAGGCCAGGTAAGGATGTTAAGAGAAAGACAGAGACACAGGATAGAGTCAGGAGGGCAATCCAATGAATACTGAACACCCTTACTTTATTCTTCAACGTTCTTAAGTACCCAACTAAAAGTGGGGACAATGGCAGAAGATTTCTATTACCATCTATAAGGAGCAAAGAGACTTCTCTTAATCCTTCAGGTATTTGATAGCCACACCTGCCATCTGGCCTTCAGGGTCAAGAGTAAACACACCTGAATCCAAGTCTGTTATTATTTAGATAAGACATCCGTTACCAAGGCTGAAACATTCTCCAGCAGCCAAGCCTTAGACCTTTAGGTCTAAGGACAGTTTTGAACTCTGATCTTGAGGCAAGATGAAGTGGACCCCTCTCTATGGGCCTTAACAACTGTCTTTATTCTCAAAGTAGGTGCTGTCGAGAGTGCCAGCTCACAAGTTAATGGATTATTACTTATGTGGAATTATGCTGATAGGAAATCAAATATGTAAGTTTCATCATTTTGTTGCAACCAGGTTAGAGCCTTGTGATAGTTTGAATGGAAGTGACTGCCATAGGCTCATATATTTGAATGCTTGGTCATTAAGCAGTGGTGCTACTTGAGAGGGGTTAGTAGGTGTGGCCTTGTTGGAGGAAGTGTGTCACTGGAGATGGGCTTTGGTTTGCAAGTGTCTAAACCAAGCCAGTGGGTCATCATCACTCTTCCTGCTGCCTTTTGATCCAGATAGAGAACTTTTAACTACCATGTCTGCTTGTGTGCTGCCATGAGGTTAATAAACTAAACTGCTGAACTGTAAGCCAGCCCCGATTACATGCTTTTTATTAAAAGCTGCTGTGGCCATGGTGACTCTTCACAGCAATAGAACACATTAAGGCAGGCCTTGTACTGCTCCTCATAACTGTGCTTCACTGGTAAAGCAAGACTCACTCGTTTGTTCTGCTCTAAACACTGAGGATGTGGCAGAGGAGAAGACAAGAGCCATGTTTAACCTACATTCTACAGTAAGCAATAATAAATATACAATCAGTGCTCTGTAGCTTTTGGAAAGAAGTCTTCATACTGTTCCATAGAGTGATTAGATACTACTATCCATAGATTACGTCTCTCCTATGTTAAGAATTGTCTGGGGCAGAGATTATAAAGGAAGTCAAGAGACCATGTAAGAAGTTATTGCTGTGGTTCAGACTATGTTGTAGGGGTAGAAGTGTCTACAGCAGTATGAATGGATATGCATTCTGAGGGCAGGGCTAATAGGACTCAAATTGCAAATACCTAGGGAATAGAGGAGGAAGAAAAATATCAAGAGCAGTTCCTGGAAAGGGCAGTATGGTTTGCAGAGTTAAGGTGAGCGGAGCAGGTGATCAAGGGTGATGTTTCCTGTGGGCTTGCCGAACCTGAGATCCAAGTACATACTTTCATACATAAGTATGTTCATCAGGGAAATAGATGTGGAAGTTTGGAGTTCCTGGCACCAGAAAAATGGTAGGTACATGGAATTTAGATCCACACAGAAGCATTGGCTCTTTTAGGGAGTGTAGAGAGGCAGCAGCTAAGAACTGAGCCAAGGAATTCAGAGTTTCCAGGTTAGCTGAGCTTCAGTATATTAAATGAATGATTACCTCTGAACACATCTGAGCATTGGAATTGAGGGGAAAACCAGAAACGGTGATCCAAATTGATTGCCTCCTGCAACTTTGGAAAGTGAACTTTTGGAAAGTGAAAATGTAACTCTTTCTGAAACATTTAATGACCACTTTATTTTATTTTTATTTATTTACTTATTTGGTTTTTCGAGACAGGGTTTCTCTGTGGCTTTGGAGGCTGTCATAGAACTAGCTCTTGTAGACCAGGCTGGTCTCGAACTCACAGAGATCCTCTGCCTCTGCCTCCCGAGTGCCACCAACGCCTGGCTACCACTTTATTTTTAATTGAGAAAGAGTTTCTATTTGGAAGTACTGGGGGTAGAAGCTAGGAGCAGACTTTTAATCTAATTAAATGTGCTTTTAGTGAAGTCTACTCTGCTAACCAGTTGGAAGCTAAGTGTCCAATGAAGATGATGCTTAAAATTCCATTGTATCACTTAAAATGTGTGTTTTATAATGAAAATTATTTTAGCAAGCTGTCCCCTCTCTTATGAGTTAGTACTGGCCCCTTTGATGAGAAGTGATGCTTTCCTTTATCAGAAACTTCACGTTTCTCTATGGTTCCCAAATGAAAATGCATGTGTCATGTCACTTCTTGTGGATACATTATCTATCCTAAAAAGTGTTTTCCCTTCCTAGCAAAGTAGCCAATTTTTCTAGACACATTTTTTTCCATTTCTACCTTAAGCACTTGTGAATAGTAGAATCTAAAGTCTACACATGGTCTTTGCTGAAGTTCAACGCTACTTTTGATTTTGCCTATTATACATACACAAGCAGGACACCCGTGAGGATGTGAACATGGGTTTCAGACACTTGGTTTGCTAGTCTTTTTCCAGCTCTGGGTTTTTTTTTCCTATACTCATTATATAAATGTATTACCTTGACATCTAGTGGGATGCCCCAGGGTTTGGAAAGCTTGCCTTCAGCACTCTGGCTCTTGCAGTGAGGCTCTTTGGCCTGTCTGGCAATTCATGCAACTGTTCCCCTATAAGATAGCATCTTGCCTTTATACAGAAAAGGTTAGAGGAAAGGTGACTGTTGTGGTGTGACAGAGAGTGGATCTTCTGTGTCTTTTACCCTAATGTTCTTGACCTACAAAAAGGTTGTATAAAGCAAGCAAGAAAAAAAAAGTAAACTATTTTGCAGCTAAAAGAACAGAGTATTTAAAAGTAGTGAGGAGCTGGAGAGATAACTGAGTGGTTAAGAGCACTGGTTGCTCTTTCAGAGGACCCAAGGACCCAAGTTCAAACCCCAACACCCATATGGCAACTCAAAACATCTAACTCCAGTCCCAGGGGATCTGATGCCATTCTCTGGCCTGTATGGGCACCGCACACATAACACAAGCACAGACAAAACACCCATACACATAATGTTTTTTAATTAGGTGAGCTTAACAAAAGTTTACAGTATTTGGGTTTTTTAATTTTTTTCTGTGTTTTATTCTTTGTTGTATTGATTTCCTTATTTTCTTTTAGTATTAGTTTTCTATACAGCAATACTTGTTACCACACCATTTCTGAGGTCAGAAACTAGGGCACAGATTAACTGAGTCCTCTGTTCTTATCCCAGTCTGCAGTCAGGCTGCCATCTCACCTGCAGGATGCCCTGGGGAGAGTGCACCCCAAGTGTGCTCACAGCTAGCAGAGTTCATTCTTCTGTGGGTGTATAGCTGAAGGCTCCTGCTTGGTAATGGCTCTTGACTGGGATCACTCCTCAGCCCCAGGTGGCTTTAGAATCCCCAGTTCCTTGTCTAATAGACTTCCCCACATGTTTGTTTGCTTCATGAAGCTGGCAGGGAGAAGCTAGTGCTGTGGAATAATCCTTCTGTACACTTTGAAGGTGTGCTGCTCTCTTTGTTAACAAAAAGCTGGTTGGCCAATGGCTAGGCAGGATTTTCAGGGCAGAGGGAATGCTGGTGAGAAGGGCAGAGTCAGAGGAGATGCCATGAGATGTAGAGCAAGCAAGATGGGAAGTACATACATGAAGTAAACAAGCCTCAGGGCAGCACATAGATGAATAGAAATGGATTAATTTAAATTATAAGAACTAGCTAAATAAAAACTCAAGCTTTCAGCCAAGCATTTATAGTTAATAAGTCTCACTGTGGTTTTTTGGGAACTGGCTGGTGGGACAGAAAAGCCTACTTACAATCTAGCACCACTTAGCCAGCACCACCAAGTCTTGCCTGGTGTTCTTGGCTAACCACCACAGTTCCTTAACAGAGTACCATGCCAAGCAGATGGGTTTTCAAAGCCAGTTTAATATACTAGTGAGTTCAAAGCCAGCCAAGGTAAGACAGGGAGACCCTGTGTCAAAACAACAGAAATATCTCTTGAGTCGACTGTGAAGATGAAAATCTATAACTCTAACAACTGGGAGGTAAGAGGAATATGAGTTGGAAGCTCACCTGGACTACATAGCACAAATCACTGCTGAGAGCTGTTACCATTTATTACAGAAGTAGCAATTAATACTCTAAGTATCAACCCACCAGAATTAACTTCTGATGGAAAAAACTTCACTTGCATAGTCTACAAGAAATAAAGACTTTAAGAATATCTGTTGCTATGAATTTGGCTGTATAATCCTGATATATAGAGTGTGTGCTGGGTGCTTTACATTCTCAAAAAAGCCCCAGAGAAAGGAAATTCCTTCTTACTGGGGCACCAGCCATAAGAGCTTCAGCCTCCAGATCTCATACTACACAATCTTAGTTTTTCCCTTTGATATAGCATTGAGAAGTCCCCTTTAATGAGTTAACAGCATGTTTTACAAGTCATGTCCCCTCTGAGACATGAGGTGCACACTTTTCCCAAGACTTTATCTGCTTTCCTGGTTTTGGAGACATGCATGCCTGGTTTTCTTGCTATTGTTGGAGACTTGTATCTGTATTGGGTATATAAACTGGAAGCCTTATGGGATCTATGAGGATTTTTAAGGAGATCTTAAAAATCTCCTTAAGATTGAGAATCTTTAAGAAAAACTTCTAAAGAGAACTTTAAAAAGAGAGGTTTTACAGAAATAACTTATAAGGAGAAATCTTTTTTTTTTTCCAAGACAGGGATTGTCTGTCTTCTGAGGCTTTGGAGGCGGTCCTGGAACTAGCTCTTGTAGACCAGGCTGGTCCTAAACTCACAGAGATCTGCCTGCTCTGCCTCCCAAGTGCTGGGGTTAAGGTGTGGGTAGAGATTTAAATATTAAAGATTTCATATATATTTTGAGTCCAGTTCAGAAAGAAATGTAACATAAAATGTAAAGGTCCCACGGAGAATCAACTCCCCCATAAATCCAAATCATCCTTGGAGCTTTATTAAAAAACAAAACAATTCACAATAGAATCCAGCCAGCTGAGCTTCACACAGGGCTACTCAGCTGCTCCAGGAGAATGGACCTAGCACTGGAAGGCTAAGATTTTCTAGGACTTAGCTGTTGTCACTACAAAAGGAGTCACCGTGGGGGATACTACCATGAGTGTGCTTTGATAAGATGTTCAAGTAGGATTCTACTCATGGTGGAATAAATATTTGCCTAATGAGTGTAATAAACATTTTCCTAATTTCCCCAGAAGCCACGTGGAGCACACTGGCTAACTTAGAAATAAATAAGGGCCTGTTCCAAAGCCTGAAGGCCATCAGCTCTCACTCAGAGGAACCCTATTCAGAGTTCATTTATATCTTAAATTCACATCTTACAGAATAGTATAGTCAGCCTGGGTTTCAGCTGGCAAGGCCATGGCATCCTGTCGTAATGGTGCTACCTACTTCAGTGGGTTGTGTAGGACTGCTGAGAAAAATCTATGCAGAGCTGGCAAGATGGCTTGGTGGGTAAGGACATCAATCTACAACCAAGCCAGACAACCTGAGTTCCATACCTGGGATCCACGTGATAAAAGGAGAATCACCTCTTGAAACTTATTCACTGATCAGCACAATCATGCTGTGGCACACACACACACACACACCACATACATACACAGTTGATACACAGCACCTCATCCATCCAGAAGGTTGTCCAGGCATTGCTAACCCAGGTCTCAGCATGTGTCAATGACTACTGTTTGCAAGGACATCATTCAAATGACTTCACTAACTTGTTCTTTTTAGGGTCTATAGATCTGTTAGCTTCTGATATAACAAATTCTAGACAAAGTTTGTGTGGTTTTACACCCATGCAATTTGGGTCAAGTTTTAGATAGCTCAAGGAACTCACATATGGGTTACTAGTTAAATAGCTTAAATTGCAACAAACATTTCCTTCTTTAAAAAACCAAACCAAGACAAAGGAAGAAAGAAAGAAAGAAAGAAAGAGAGAGAGAGAGAGAAAGAAAAGAAAAGAAGGAAGAAAGAAGGAAACCCCCCTTTTTTTTGGTTTTGTTTTGTTTATTGTTTTGTTTTTGCAGGAATGTCTCATGTAATCCAGCCTTGAACTTAGTATGTAGCCAAGACTAACTGTTGGGAAGCTCCACCCCGCCCCCGAGAAAGACCGCCATTCGTAGCTCCTTCCATGGAACTGCTCAAGACCCGCCTACAGGCTGTTTAAGACCCCTGTGCTCTCCCTTCTGCCTTCCCTGATAGTCACCCCCAGGGTTCTGCTCGACTTTGCTGTGTTTAATAAATTTGGATTTATTAATTCAGTTTGATTTG